TTCCCTACATAGGACAGCTGCACATGCCATGATCTGGAAGCATGAAAATCACTTCCAGATATTCCAGTAGAAGACTCCACTTGCTTTATCATCTGCCCATTAATTTGCCCCCTGTGTCTAGCCAGCCATCTGGCAAGCACTTTAACCTTAGTTTTATCTTCTGTTTTGTAGGAAACTAATAATTAACATCTTACCGAGAAGGCTGCTGCAATGAACTCTATTACTAGAATAAATAGATGTAAAGGGCTGTGTGTTGTGCTATAATAGCTGTTAAATATAACATAAATCCCCTCTACTCTGGATTACTTGTTGAAATTCAGCAGATTTTCTAGGTCTGATTAGGGAGACACTTTGGAAAGCTCACATGCAATATTTTGAGTCAGCTCAACATTTTCCACTTCAGAGAGAAGCAACCTGGTACCTGCAGGAACGTGCAAGGTAAAAAGTATAAGGCAAACAAATTAAAATAAATTGTTTGCCTTATAAATAAATAAAACTCCATGAGGCAAGGTGAAGGGAGCAAATAAAGGGTGATGTTGTAAGTATGATTTAATCAGATAGTTTGGTCATTCATAGGCAGAAAATATAACACTTGAAGTATAATCCCAAGAGTTATTTTAAGAATAAACTCTCCTACTTTTTCAAATTAAGCAGGAAATAAAGGAAAATTACACTGGCAATGGGATGGATGCTGTCAATGTAGCATAATGTTAAGTTAAGAAAGAAGACAGGGATGACAAGGAAGTGTCAAACTGCAAAAGCTTTCTCACAGCTGAAATTTGACATTCTTCTTACTTGAGATTTCAGAGGCTAAATCAAAGATATTCTGCAGTATCGGTTATTTCTGCCTCTATCTCTTTTATTTCTCTATCTCATCTCTTTTACAAAAGTAGTATTGGGTATTAGTTGCCATAAACCCAATTTAGTGTTTGTCTTATACTTTTTATAATGTTTGTCTTATATTTTTTACCTTTCTGTTCAGGGTTTTATATAACACTGCTTTCCTTGAATAAATAATGGGTTTTTTTTTACCAGAAGGATTCCCATTGGCCTTCTGAGCCAAAAGGCAGAAAGACAGAAGGTGATTGGCCCACAGGGTGCTTAAATCTGGCCTGCGGGGCCAGCCTGGAAATAGCAAAGGACCAGCCACGGTGCTAAAACGGGGCACGGGGGGTTGTGTGAGACCCTCCATGCCTTTTTTGGCCAGCATGGAGGCTGTCCAGGCTGAAAATGGGGCATGGGAGGGGGGCTCACATGGCCCCCATGTCCTGTTTTGCTTCAGGAGGCTGTCCAGGCCAAAAACAGGGTGTGGGCATGCGCTCCACATGCCCACCCTGTGCCCTGTTTTGGCCAGCAGGGTGCTGTAGGAGGCATCCGTCCCATCTCCCCACTCTCACCCCAGCTGGCCCATGAAGGAGAACTACAATGCTGATCCAACCCTTGAAGAAATGCAGTTTGACACCCCTAATTTAGTACAAAAAAAATGAAATAATGGTGCCATGTGATCCTGTCCCTGACAAAATTACACATTTTCAGGTTGTATGGAGTTGTTGAGAAATATTTAGTATTATTTCCTTAAGAGATAAAATGAGTTAACCTTCAAAGAGCTCAACTCTGTCTAGCCAAAGTCTTCAATTTTCAAACTAAATTTTAAGTAATATCCCGCATAATTATCCTAATTTTTAAAAAGTTGGAATTGTACCAGAGACATGTAATAAGAAATAGCTAAATTTTCTTTAGGATTCCATGAAGATCCTAAATGTTGCTGGAGGATGGAAAGTCAGAGATACCGATCAACCAATAAACTGATCTGGAATTGAAAATATAATATTTTATGGATTGACATTATTTCAAATATATAAAGTATTTAACCTGGAGGTCCCAAGTTACTCTTGCAGAATCAAGAGACAAAAGGGCCAGGACAAGCTTTCTCCAGTTTTAGCAATAAACCAGTGGTTCTTCTCTTTGAAGAATGAACATCTAGACATTTCATACTCTAGTTACTTTTTGGAGATAATTATTACATACTCAACAGAAAATTGCCAATGACATGTTTTTGAACTTGAGTTGGTAAAAAAAATGTGGCTTCTACACCTATTGTATATATTGGAGAGCTTTTGTAGGACTTGTTATATTAAGGTGCTGGCTTTGGTCTACAAACTGAGTTTTTTTGGTCCACCTGAGACGCAAATCAGTGAGTAGAAAAAGAAAAGAACTTTTAGTTGTAAAACTCTAGCTGCTGAACTCATTCTCAAGAGAAATAAGATTGGTTCACTTCTTGCTTTATTTTTGTACCACTAACCATTTTAGTTCGGTATTATTACTTATTATATTCCACTTTTAAATTGTATGGCTTTTATTCCCTTTTTCTTTTCCTTTTTTTTAATGATTGGATTTATGATGGTTTTTAATCTGAAGTATTGGTGTTCTTATTGTTCATTGATTCCTGTATATGGGAGATCAAGGGATAGATCTACACATATATTTTCAGACTATTTTGGTTCTGAGGCTTCATTAACCATGCCTTCGATTTATACATTTCCAAAACCCACTTCCAAATAACCAGGTTTGTAATAGAAATGCTTGAGGTTTTATCTTTGCAAATACCATGCATTAAAAAGATGGACTTGAGAAACACAAAGAAGTGTGAGAGACAGTTCAGACATTATTGCAGCCCATAAATTTGTATGAAACACTGCACAAATTATGTATGCCCTAATGCATTTTGCATTGAGAATTAGACACTAATTATTCCACATTTCATTAGAGTCATTATTTGTATGCAGAGTGCTAGCAGAAGCAAAAAAATTGGGATGCTGTTAAGAATCCAAAGTGCAGTATGAAAACATCAAAGGAAGGGTAAAACAACATTACTTGGTGGGTTTTGAAGCCATTGATGTGAGCACCAAATTGTGCTTGCTTCTGCTCTCATTTCACAGTCCAAATTCTCACATAAGAAATCTCTCCCCCACCCAATCTCCTCTAATATCTGTACTGAATGAAGATTCTCAGAAGTGTCCAGTCGCATTGTGGTCAGAGGTGGTATTCAGCAGGTTCTGACCAGTTCTGGAGAACCGGTAGTAGAAATTTTGAAGAGTTTGGAGAACCGGCAAATACCACCTCTGACTGGAGAATATACAGTATCCTTCCCCTGACACACCCACCAAGTCACACCCACAGAACCAGTAGTAAAAAAAATTGAATCCCACCACTGATCATAGTATATTATAATCCAATCTGAATGCAGGCAAGGAATAGCTAAAGCTACCTCCTCTTCATCAAACTCTCTTTACACTGAATTTCGGACACCATTCTGATTTCTGCACCCTGGAATTTCTATGAAACAGAAGAGCGTCAGCAATGTCCCCCCCACTTCCCCAAATTCTGCAAAAAAAGAAAAAAAGAATTAAGCAGTTCTTCCCATCATTTCTCCTCACTGTGAGAATATTAGTGAGGAGAAAGATGAATATTAATTGATTTGTGAATATTTTCTCCTCAGGATTTTGCGTCAATAATTTTTCCAGGCTCATGCATGTCCATTTCATGTGCTTGATGTAAAATGGGTCTTTCATGATCATAAACAGAAGATTGGTGTTTAAGGTCATTGTTCTTTTAGGTGGGAGGACAGAGGTTAGAAGAGATAAGAAGTGGGCATGAGGTATTGGTGAAGATGCTTATTTCTCTCTCCAAGCAACACAATCATTCCTTGCCTTTGGAAAGAGAAAGGTTGGATCCACATGGAATGCCATTTAATGTTATCCAACTATTGTTGTGCTGAAATAACAATAATAAGGAGAAGATATATTTTGCTTCATCAATAGCAATAGGTCACTAGAAGATGCTTCACATCACTAGTGGGAATCCCACCATGATCACTATCACTGTCACTGCACTGTTTTCCTAATCCATGATTTGGCAAACTGGGATCAAGGATTAGTTTGCCTGATCTGTCTTTTAATATTACATGAGGGCATCAGAAAAGTAATCTAAGCAGGGCTATGAGCTAGTAGCCATGGACACAATTAATACTTCTAGCTCAGAACTCAAGATGTCAGAAGAATAACCACACTATAGCTTATGTGGGGATTATGAATATAGCAGAAACTTTACATAGTATTTCATTTAGATGTATCTTCCAAAGAGTACCTATCTCCCTGCTCTTTAGGAAATTATTTAACAAGTGACAAATTCAGTTGTCAAAGTGTACTTCATAAACTGGGAATTATTTGTACAGACTAGTCTGCCAAAAGAACTATAATAAAGCAAAGGGAGATACTTGCTTCTGATATCAATACTTCCACTTCTAATACTGATTGATGACTTTTTGCAGTGAAAGGATAGCTTGAAGATGTAGGTGTGAACCTGGGTAAATATTATAGCTCAGAAAACTAGCTTGCCCATAAACTTCATCTATTTATTTCAGGGCAATTTCCTTCTTACATAATCAAAATTAACTCCCACTGAATTCAATGGGCTTAGTTCAAGGATATTATAGGTTTGCAGTTTGTGATAATGCATAATAGAATCAGTATTCTAGAACTACTGGCAAGCTATGATTCTTATTTTATTGGCTTTGAGAATGTTCTTGAACTGATCTTAGGACCAAACTGTATTTTATACTTTTTTAAAAAAAAACCTGTGCTTAAAGTTTTGTTGAGTTTTAGGAAAGATAGGAGTTTTTTTAAAGGAAACAAACTACATAAACTATTGCCTTGTGGCAGCAAACAAATTTAATAAATAAATAAATAAAATAAACAGTTGCACCAGTTTCCTGCCAAAAGAAATCTCTCTCTTACTGCTAAATGCTGGTGAAGATATTGGTTAGTGAATATGGACTTTTCAAAGGCCAATAGCAGCCATCAATGAGGAAAATTTTCAGCAGGAGAATGACGCAAGATTTTGCAGCTGCTTTTGTTTAATTTCAAAGCAATTAATGGAAACATAAATAAAATATAATTTAGAGCCCCAAATTTTGATATTTATTTCCCTTTTTCTCATAACTGGCAATATTTCAGCAAGCCCACTTCCAAAATTTAAAATAAAATTGTAAATTCTGTATCTGCCATAAAAATATAAAAAGAAATGTGGCCACAACTTTTCCAGTTGGTTGTTTCATGTTGCATGAGGTCAAATGTAGCAAAACAAAATAAAATACCTCTCCCCCAAATAATTTGTCTTCAAATGAAAAATAGTTACAGCCATACAATCTTGCAAAGTAATTGGTATGTAATCATATATTTGGGGCTCAGAATCCAGAAATTTCCACTTTAGTTAAATTAGACAATGCACGATTGTAGAATGAAAAGGTTAGGTAGTGACTGAGGGACAATGACTGTTATATGCCTAATGGGAACATACAGGAAAGGACAAAGGGGAAATCTAGCCATTTGGCATGCAAAGCAATGCTAATTCTTGTTTAATATACTTTTGAGACTTCTCTCTACTGCTTCATCTAATTCTTCTTCCAACTCCTCCTTCTTGGACATAGCCAGTTTAGACTGGTAATCTTTCACTATTTGGTCTATGTAGGGTGCACTTTGAGTTCCATGTAGCATTAGTGTCCATTCTTTAAGGACTCCCTTTTGGGGCAAGATCCCAACAAACCCAACTTCGAGAACCCAGGTACCTCTGGGGTCTTCTCCCCAAGAATGTGTAGTCATGAAAGGCCACTTGTCAAAGCCCACTTTGGAATCATCATCCCTTGGCCGCCGACTCAGCAAGATGGATTTTGTCCCCATTGGCGAGGTCATGTTGATATTCAAATCCCCTCTTCTCGTAGAGTTCACTGTGATAACAGCTTGAACATGTTCAAGGTAACGGACAAAGTTCTCTTTCCCCTCGCAGGCATCTGTTGAAAGCGTCAGAACCAACTTGCCACCAGATGGTACTTTCCTAGGATTTTCAAAGAAAAGCAATGCTGACTACTATGTTTTCCATAGTACCCATCAATCCAAAAGTGCAGATTGAGACTTGGAATGCAAATTTAAAATGACTGAATCAATATAATTAATAAGTGATTTATTTTTACATTAAAATTTATGTAGCTCTCCAAACTCACACATAGGTGACTCCTTGGTGGCTTACAATATTTTTTAAAAAATAATCATATAATAAAACTCAGAACAAAAACCACCCACCCATCCCCATTGGCATCAACAACACAAATCAGCCATTTGACTGGCTCTGGCTCCATTTGTGGTTTTCCGGCCCACTGACAAACCACGTTTTTGAGATCATGAAATACTGTGATTCCCTTTTCAGGTTGTTTATTTGTTTATAGTATTTTATTTGTTATTTAAGTTTGTAATCAGCATTTCTACATAGAACATCTTGGGCAGATCCAAATGTTCTGCTTAGCTCCATATACCAATATATCACTGAATGCAAGAGTGGATGTTATTCTTACTCCCAGCCCAGTACAAATGTATCCTCTGTCTATATTTTCCAGCTGTGATTCAAATATGCTATTTTCTACCTGAGCCATCTTAATTCCTTCAGAGAGAATAAATCTTTGTTCTGTTTTATAACAGTACTATACCACATCCCCTCCTCTTCAGAATCTACACTTTTCAATGGGCATCTAATTTTGGCTGCCAGGTTGCTATGTTCTCTGTTGGTTGGCAGTCACTATCTTTAATAAAGTATTGGCTGAACCAATAATGGCCATTAAGTGAACAGATCTCAACCATAGAAACTCACATTTCAGCCATCTCTCAATGGGCACCCATTTTTGATTTTGTCCTTCCCTTCCCTTATAGCTGAACTACAACTTCCAGCATTTCTCATCATTGCCTTCAGTAAATATGTGGTACTAAACTATTATATTTAAATTTGTCCAGATAAAACCTAATCAATATGTTCAACAGTCCTTTTACATCATTAATGTGTAAATTCCTACAAAATATATGGAATGTAAATTAATAAATTTTCCCAGTTAATTATTTGATTATTTCATTGATTTCATATGAGATCAAATCAGAAAATAATTGGACTGCCTAGCATTAAGTTGAAGACTTGAGAACATAGAGCAAACAAAATACTTAATGCATCAATGAAAAAGCATTCAGATTACATATGCAGAGTCCCAAAAGTAACCTGGAGTCATCAATATTTTATGGAATAAATCAGATCAAACTTAATGAATGATTGACTATGAAGACATCCTGATAAACTGATTTTCAGAGATGGCTATAATACTGCGGTTTCAGTGTCCTAGTCACTAGAAAGGAATAGCTATATTGACAGAAACGGTGCTCATTTGTTGCTGCTTTTGTTTTTACCAAGACCAGGAAAGAGACTGGGTAAAAACATCATAGATTACGGTCCAGTGTGAAAGAAGATCTGTTGGAAAGTACAGTAAGACCCTCAAGTTCTGTTATATTCTAATACAAGGACTACAGCTTTCCTAATTTTTATCATCAGTTTTCGGTTGAGGAGGAAGAAATATTTTCTGATTTTTTGAAAGGTAGCCTCATTTACTATTTATAAATGAAGACAAGCCAGCTAATAATTGGGGTTCCCTGAGGGAGTTAAGTATACCCTTTTTATTACTCATGGGTCTTGCATATTGAAATACACATAGAAAGCTGCTTGACGTAGTGCTTTAAGAATTCCTATATGTTAACTTTTCATGAAATCAATTTTCTGCTATTACAAGTGAGGAATGGAGCACTGAGCTCTTTTCCAGAAGGCACTTCCTGACAATTTTGATTCAACCTATCACATTGGCTTTATATCAGAGGGAAAATGCCATGTAATTGCCAAGCTGGGTTTCCTACTCCAATTCTCTCCCTCTAAATAGAAGTGGATAATCTGAATCATATTGAATAACCCTGTTCTTTATTCCTACATGTGGAAAGTTAGTGAAGGATAACTAATCCATTGAAGTGAGGCAACTGTTTTGTAGGTTTAAATTGGATTAAGGACTCATCAATACAGATGTTTACTGCGGGTAAAAAATGTTCCACTCACTGATGTCTGAAGACATGATCATGCCAGAAAACCTTCCTTTTATAGGCAGCCCACAGCTGTGGCAAACTGAAGTGTTTTGTCATGAAATTAATGATTCTTTTTTCCTGGGAAAATGAAAGGCCTCTCATCCAGGCAATCCATGGCACATGGAGAAGGAGACTTAAATGACACAATTGAGGGATATGATTGGCTTGGTTCTGGCTTGACAGGTCTCCAGTAAACCTGCCCCATTTTTTTTAATGTGACACCAATCCTGCAGTACTGGTTTGGCTGCAAATCAGATAAGAAATTGACTACTGCAGACAGTTCCTTTTTTCTTTCCTTTTTTAAGAGGTCAGCTGATTGATTAACCTAGATAATGGAAACCTGAAATTGATTAGTCCTCCTTCAGCCTAACACATGCAATTGAAGGACTTGATTCGTGTGCTTCTAACAGCCTGGCACCTGCTGAGTTGAACTCCCTCCATCTTCTCTTAATGGAATGTTTTAAAGGATTAATCTGTTACAAAACATAACTTGGCACAGGTATAGCTTCAATATATATATTCCCTTCTCTACCTTTTGAAGAGTCAGTTTGGTACAGTGGGTAAGGCATCAGGTTAGAAATTGGGAGACTAGGAGTTCTAGATCCACCTTAGGCACAAAGCCAGCTGGGTGACCTTGGGCCAATCATTCTTTCTCAGTCCTCAGTGGTAAACCACTTCTGAAAAACCTTGTCATGAGCAAGGATTAGTTCAGAAGTCAGAAAATTTCTTGAAAGATCACCCACACAGAAACTCCTTTTGAAGAACATAGCATAGTAACCTATATACTGTATGCTGTGATTTGACACAAACATCTATACGGTAATGTTTCAAATGACAGCTTTTCAACCACAGTCATCCGTCTCAACTGCAGAAATCTTGATGTTGCATCTTAATAGCTAATAGGTTGATAGTCTACCAGGTTAATAATTATTTTGGGGGGGAAAAGTCAGTCTGGGGATAATCCATAACTGATGAGTTTTCTCTCTTATACAGAACATCTTTCTTCACCTCTGGTTTAGAGAGTTCATTCAGCAACTGTATTTAGACTACACAAATTCAGTCAGCCACTTCACTACAACTAAGAAAGCTGTAATTTTTGCTGCCAATGGGCTGACAGGTAGTTGGTCCTTTGTGGGTGGGAAGGGAGGGATGGGTTGATATATCATGCCAGAACACATTCTGTAATATAATCACTCTTAGTTGTTTCCAGCAGTTGATGTTTAAATTTCATCCAGGGAATGTGGATAAGCAGCACAGCACAGCATAGCACAACATAGCACAGCACAGCACAGCACAGCACAGCACAGCACAGCACAGCACAATCCCATTCCTGATGTGTATGAAGGCCGTGCTATGGAACAATGCATTTTTTGCCAATGTGACATTTTCCCAGCTTCAGGATGAAATGAAAGCACAGCAAAAGAGCTGTGCAAAGTTCAAAGACACTTATGTTTATTGTTACTTACTGAGGTTCTTGGACTGATCCACCCACACAGTGAAATCTCTCCGGAACAGTCTTCCAGTCTTTAGCCATTGTAACCATTGCCCCAGCATCTAGGACCCCATAGCCAAACAAGTGGTTGAATTCAAGGCCAACTCCATTTCTTCTCCACTTGTGAACTTCATCATGAAGCTGGTTCCTTTTGGATGTGAGCACAATCAAATGTTGCAAGTCCCTCCAGGTCAGATCCACACTGCCAGAAAGCAAAATAGAGAGATATGGCACCTTTAGAAAATCTACTTTGGCAAAGACTCAAACAGTTGTTATGTGTACATAAGCAAGACTTAAAAATAGCAAGGATTCATTCTTAAGGCTCAAAGAATCATCAAAGGGAGAGAGCAAACTCTTCCACTCATGAAATTTCTTGCCCTTCATTTTAAGATGTGCAAAATGTGAAAACTAGGTTAAAAAAACCTGTTGTATGCAATATCTCTCTTCTACTACTATTACCACTATCACTATCCACATCATACCACCCTTCCCCTTTGATTTGCTTTTTGTTTAATAGTTTAACCTGGGAACAGTCACCTTTTAAGAGCTGCTGTTAACAAAGATTAATTTTGGACTTTCTTAGAACTGTGTTTTTCAAAGGCAGATCAACATTATGATCAACCCTATCTTGGCAAAACCAAATTATCTGAAAATTGCATTCAAATATATTTGAATGTTTAGAGCAGGGCTGTCAAATTTGTGGGCCATGGACCGGATACATCATGCATCGGCCATGACTATGCCCAGTTTAGTGAAGGGGGAAAAAGTCATGACACATCATGTGATGATGCTGTGACGACATGAGCTTGACACCCTTGGTTTAGAGGATTATTTCACCCATATATCTTACCCTCACTGTCTTGAAAGCTCTAACAATGTCTTATGGCAAGCACATTCTGATTTAACAATCAAGGATAAAGTACTCTGCAATAAAAACAATACACTTTTTAAAATACATGGATCTGTGGATAAATAATAGCAGTACTACTGTATCTAAGCATGTGCTTCTGCCTGGGATGGGAGGGGGGAGAAAATTCAGAAAATGAGTGTGATGTCATTATTGAAGTCCCACCCCTTTTTGTATATGTTATATCAATGCATGTCAGGTCTTGGTTTGTGACATAATCTTGCAGATTTTGACACAAACCCCTGCAGATGACAATGAAGAGGAACTAGAAGTTTTAGATAGACATAGATAGAGACATATAGTGTAGATAGACACAGGATAGAAGATGATACAAGGTAGATTAGATAGATAGGTAGGTAGGTAGGTAGATAGATAGATAGATAGATAGATAGATAGATACATAGATAGATAGATAGATGTTAGATAGATAACAGATTTACAGATTAACAGAGTTGGAAGGGACCTTGTAGGTCTTCTAGTCCAATCTCCGCCCAAGCAGGAGCCCCTACACCATTTCTGACAAATGGCAGTTCAGTCTCTTCTTGAAAGCTTCCAGTGATGAAGCTCCCGAACTTCTGAAGGCAAGCTATTCCATTGGTTGATTGGTCTTGCTATCAGAAAATTTCTTCTTATTTCTAGGTTGAGTCTCTCTTTGATCAGTTTCCACCCATTATTCCTTGTCTGGCCTTTGGGTACCTTGGAAAATACCTTGGCCACTCCTCTCTGTGGCAGCCCCTCAAATTTTGGAAGACTGCTATCATGTCTCCCCTGGTCCTTCTCTTCACTAGACTAGCCATGCCCAGTTCCTGTAACCATTCTTCATATGCCTTAGTCTCCAGTTCCTAATCATCCTGGTTGCTCTTCTCTGTACTTTTTCTAGAGTCTCAACATCTTTTTATAGTGTGGGGACCAAAACTGGATGCAGTATCCTAAGTGTGGTCTTACTAAGGCTTTATAGAGTAGTCCTAGTACCTCACTTGATCTTGATTGTATCCCTCTGTTAATGCAACTTAGGATTGCATTGGCTTTTTTGGCTGCCGCTGCACACTCATATTTAATTGGTTGTCCACCAAGACTCTAAGATCCCTCTTACATTTACTGCTATTAAGCCAGTAATTCAACCCAGTCTATATGTGTACTTTTGGGTTTTCTTGCCTAAGTGTAAGACTTTTCTCTACATTGAATTTCATTTTGTTAGATAGGGTCCAGTGTTCAAGTCTGTCAAGATCCATCTAAATCTTGAGCCTATCATCTAGGGTGTTGGCTATTCCTGCCAGTTTCGTCTGCAAATTTGGTAAGTTCCCCAGGGGTGGGCTTCAAATAATTTAACAACTGGTTCTCTGCCCAGTTGCTGGGTGGGTGTGGCCTAGTCAGCCCCCTGCACCACCTTGGGAATGAAAAAGAGCCTTGCCCTGTTTTCAACTTAGTAGGCCTCCCTGCACCACCCTGGGAATAAAAACTGGCTGCAGGGGGCCCATTTTCACCCTCCCCGGGCTCTGGAGGCTTTCCTCGAGTCTCCGGGAGTTCCATTTTCACCCTCCCCAAGCCTCTGCACAGGCCCTGCACTTACCTGCAATCCAAAATGGGCCACGTGGGGACTCCTGGGAGGGGTGGGGTGCATGGGACCAACCAGTCATTGGAACTAATGGTTCACCAAACCAGATGTAAAATTAACATCTGGTTCAGCTGAACCGGTGCGAACCAGCTGAAGCCCACCACTGAAGTTCCCCTTCTATTCCCTCATCTAAGTTCTTTATGAAGATATTGAAGAATACTGAGCCTAAGACGGATCCTTGTGGTACTCCACTGCTTACTTCCCTCCATGTAGTTGTAGTACCATTAGGGACTACTTGTTGAATACAGTTGATCAGCCAGTGAGAGATTCATCTGATGGTGATGCCATCTATCCCACTTTTTTCTAGCTTGCCAAGAAGTAGCTTGTGGTCTACTTTGTTGAATGCCTTGCTGAAGTCTAAGTATATTATAGATATATAGTATAAGATGGATAGATATATAGATATACTGTAGTAGATTTTGCTTGAATAAAACTATCTGAGAAATGTTCCTCCCTATTCTTAGAATCCTTTGGCAGCTGATTTTCAGATCTCACCCAGAGGCACAGTTTTCTACATATTCAATAAGTGTGCTAGAAGACTATAGAAAGCAATATAGTATATAGTATATTAAGAAAATATGCACAACTAAAAGCAATCGATGGAAATAACTAAGCCATGGCGGGATTGAATGGGAGGAGACATATCTTTAAGAGATCATGGGTTAAAAATGCATTAGAGAAATCAATACCTCTTCAAGAATAAGTGCCATCTTCCGTGTCACTTCTCTAAAGTTAACCTAACTGCAATTAAGCCCTCTTGATGAGTTTCGAGAATATGTGCAGGTGATAAAGAGACAAAGATGGAGCCAATTGCATTGAAAATGGTTTCAGATTCTTCTGTCAATACAGGAAGATCAAGTGATACAGAAGCAACCTGCATGGCTTTAAATCCTTTTGAATTTTTTTTTAATATCCTTTTCCTCCTTGCACATTTTCTGAAAAACATAAAACTGGCTTCCATGTACAGCCTGCTTTAGAGAGCAATTGATGTTCAGTTCATGGAGGCTTAAAATTGGATTCCAAGCCATTGAGTGATTTGCATTTATAACAAAATAATTGATGACTGCTTTCACCTACTTTGCTTCCAGGGCCAGAGCAAACACTCCCGCAGCCTCTGGGGCAGCTGCAGATGTTCCTGAGTGGCGTAATGTACAGTTGCCATATAGATCTGTTGTAGCCTGCAACAAAGTACAACAAACTTTAATTAGATAAATGATACTCGAGTCTTCAAGGTGTATAAAGAGATAAAAATATATGTTAAACAAAATAATCACTTCTTCCTAAGGAGGGTTCATGTTCTTTTGTGTTCTTGCTGGTAGTTTCTTGCTTGTGGAATGTAAGCATTGCTTCTTGCCTTCTCTAGCTTCTTGTCTCTATGCCATCCTCCAATACTGTGTGGTCACTGTCAGTTCCTGCTCCAGGGTTTCTCAACTTTGGCATCTTTTAGATGTATGGACTTCAACTCCCAGAATTCTCCAGCCAGCATGGAAATTCTGAGAAGTCCACATATTGCAAAGCTGCCAAGGTTGAGCAACATTATTCTAAAGCAAGGATGTCCAACTTGGCAACTTTAAGACTTGTGAACTTCAACTCCCAGAATTTCATGTTGGCTGGAGGATTCTGGGATTTGAAGTCCATAACTTTTAAAGTTGCTCAGTTTGGATACCCCTGCTCTAGAACATATTTTAGGAGACAGGAAACCCTTACTCTAGAGCATATTTTAGGATAAATCTGGATAAAGGAGATCAGTCATATATCATGTTTCCCAACTTGCTTTTAATGGCAAATTCCTTTGAATGAGTTCCATTCATGGGAATTATGGTTAAAATTCACCGCATTGTAACAACAAGGATTTTTTAAAATAAAGTTTTATTGAGTTTTAACAAAACAAATAAAACATCTTAATTGAGTACAGCATGGTTCCGGGTTATCACATTTCCATACAGACACAATTTCATATGCATATTCTTCTTATGTATTCAACTTCATATCTTATCACTCTTCCTTTACTTCTCTTAGGTTTCTTTTATAGTTATCTCATTTTCTTCTTATTCAATTGTATTTCTTATGGCTAAATTGCTATATCTGTTTATTCATTATACTTATACTTTCGTCTGTCTTGTTTACAATTTCATATATTCTCTTCTAATATTCTTAAAAAGCAAAATTTCCCCTATGATTGCCAATCGGAGTACAACACCTTTAAGTCTTATAGTTATTATCATGTGAAATCTCATTAAACATTAAATTTGTGCATTCTAAAATTATAACATTCAAATTTCTAATATCTATTTTATATCATATAAATCTCATCATTCAAACTCTGCTTGGTACTTCCCCTTGAAAATGTAAGAAGAAAAATTCTAAAAAAAATAGCAAAAACAATATATATGTATGTGTATGTGTATATATAAATATATATATATACAAGTATATAAAATAGTTATTCAAATTCATTCTAGTACTGGTATGAGCCTTGTAAATCTTTCACATTTCTTTTCAATATTTATCAAACTTTGAGAACAACGTTTCCCTCCCTTCTTCATTATTACATTAATTGTTAATAAGCATACCATTGGATAGTCATACAATTTTATCTTATAAATTATTTACTATTAATAAGCAGAATAATTGTTCAAATTCATTCTAGTAACTGGTATAAATTTCCTTATAGATCTTTCACATTTCTTTTCAATATTTTATCAATCTTTAGAAACAATTACAGTGTTTCTCTCCCTTCTTTATTATTGCATTAATTATAAATAAACATACCATTACATAACAATACAGTTTTATCTCATAGGTTATTTACTTATTTCATTTCTAACTCATTACAATATTCTACTGTCACAACACTATCTTTTGTACCTTTTGTGCAGAATCCTCACTTTTAACTTAATTTCGCCTATATCTCTGTGTTTTCTAGCTGAGCAAATACCTTTAATCCTAGTACGTTTCCCTTTTTTCTTTATTTCCTGTTTTTGTCCCTCATAAGTTCTTTCCCTTTCTATCTTCCCCCCTTTTTCTCATCCCCTTTTTTATATCCTTCTCTCTCTAATTTTCCCTTCTGTAGTTTTCTTTTCTGCTTCTCCTTGCTATTATACTTCTTTTTCAGACTATTTTTCTTTTTGGCTGTTCCCTTTGATCTCAAATTTTTAACTCCTTTCCCCCCCTTTTCCCTTTTTACCACACTTTGTATTATTTGATCATTGAAAATGGCTTCTTCTTTGTCCCACCCTTCTTCTTGCTCTTGAAGCTTTTCCTTTTGCTTTTCATAGTTCAGGATCTCCATTTCAAAAAATTCAAATACGAAGCCAAAGGATCTTCCTCCCCTTTCTGCATCTTCTTTCTGTTTTTTAAGACTCATCTTCAATTCCTCCAGGAGTGATGACATTTTGAACACTTTTGAACAACCACCCAATTGACTTTAAGTAAAAAAAGAAAAGGAAAATAAAAAAAAACAATGCCAAAAACATTTTTTTAAAATCGCCAAATGATCCCAGACTGTTCCTTCTTGTTTCTTTCCTTTCCTTTCCCTTTCCATGGGTTACTGTATCTTTTAATAAAATTTCAGTTACAATGTATCCTTGGGAGCCTTTACAAAGTTTCACTGTTAATCCTTTTTGTTTTTCCAGGTGGCACTCCATTTTTTCATTGTTCCAAGTTCCACCCTTTTGCCTCCACTCTTCTCCTTTTTGGGGCTTTAAAATGACCAAAAAAAATTCTTTATTCTCCTTTTGACACTTAGATTTCAGCTTAAAGTTGCCTATTAGTGTCAAAATGAATTAACACAAATTTCTTTCCATACCATTTAACCTCCTTTTCTCTCTCCTTCGCCGCTTAACAATCTTCTTCTGGAAGTATCCCTCTAAGTACTTTTAAATTTGGGGTACCTTGCTTAGATGTTATCTGTGTTTAGCCAGTCTGTCCTGCTTTCCTCTTTGTCTTCCTTCTGCACAATCTTATCCAGTCAGGTTATTCTTTGAGGTGACTATTTCTGACCACCGCTACACCTGCCTTCGGGAAAGGGAGTTTAGACCAGCCAAGGAGGAGAGATGCGGCCCCCCTCCACTTGGCTAGCGATCTCCCCCCTCTTCACCACATCTACGGGGTGGTTTCAGCCCCAAATCCAAAGGATCAGGGTGCTCCAGTGGCGAGCACGGATCAAAACTGCGCACGATCACGGATTTCAGTCCGTTGCTGAAGAAACCCAAACCGGAAGTCTCAAGGATTTTTAAATGTGGATTAGAACTGGATACTTTTCTCAGGGTTGGGATAGGGTTGGAGCAGGGCTGAATTTTTGTGGTGGTAGAGGACACAAATAGACTACTCAGGAATAGGTGATCCTCATATTGTTCATCATATGGTATATTTGTTTGTTTTGATTATATAGTCACTACCGGGTTATATATTATGTATCTTTTGGGGCTAGTTTCTTAGGGTAAACCAATCTTGTGATAATCATGAAATCAGCAATATTGTTTCTATATCCTTATCAGCCAAGCCAACCTTGGCATTGTCTGTTTGATATAGAATTGAAGACTGACTTCTATGAAGACTTTTTCTTCCATAGTCGTCCCCCCCCCATCAACAACAACATACAACTATTAGGTTGTGCAGCATTTCAGATCTGACAGCAAGAGGTTGATGCATGCAGAAAGAGGGCCTGTGTGCAAATCCTTAAACTAAATGTGAAGCTGGATAATTCCGTGAGGAGGGCATCTGTTTGCAATTCCTTAAAGTGCCTTTTCCTGAGACAGTGAGCAACTATTCCCATGCGTTACAGCCAGATGGCTTCCAAGTTTACAATTAAAGGCTTTTAAATATTTTAGCAATTATATAATTAACATTTTACTGTGTACATTTTTAATTTCCACATCTACTTTTGCTTAATTTTAAAACTTAACTATCCTACTAAATATACTTGCATACAGGCCAGTGGTGGGATTCAATTATTTTTTACTACCAGTTCTATGGGTGTGGCTTGGTGGGTGTGGCAGGGGAAGGATACTATAAACTCTGCAGTCAGAGGTGGTATTTGCCAGTTCTCCAAACTACTCAAAATTTCTGCTACCAGTTCTCCAGAACTGGTCAGAACCTGCTGAATACCACCTCTGATACAGACTGACATTAATTATTATCTGATACCAACTTCATGCATTTTCTCAAGCAGGTTCAAGTACAAAAGAATTACATATTCTTGAAAATCTTTTTTCAAAGCAATATTAAAGTTATAATTCCTCAGTTTATAACTAAAATGTCACCAAACATCTGTTGAGTAGAGAAATGAAGTTTGGCTTGTTAGATTTTCATAAAGAATTGACCTTTCCATGTTTGTCTTCTCACTAAATAATGAGACTCTCCAAAAGTAAATCTCTTTTCAATCAATCGCCTCAGTTTTTTCATATTCATTTCAGCAATAAAATAGTATTTTTCTCATCTAGTGTTGTATATTGTTCCCCCAAGTTTCCAAGAATTATTGAGTGGATATTAGAGATGCCATTATTCAATGGATCAGCTGAATGAAGATAGATTAATAAAATATATAAAAGAAAAAAGAAAAAATAATTGTTCAACCTACCACACCGGCTTCAGGATTTCTCTTTCTCCCATTGCTAAAAGTAGAAGCTAAAGTTGAGGAACAACTTTCATCATACAAAGCTGTCCGGCCATCATTAATAGCTGAATTGATGGAGATAGTCCACATGCTTGATGCGTAGCCATCACAGTTACAGTCGTCATAACTTCCTCCATCTCCAGAGGCCCAGACATAGATACTTCCCTTGCCACCACGGCCCTGCAGAACAGGTAAATCTAGGCAATCAGTTTTGGCCATTATATGTCAAAAAGATTTTTTAAACAGTAAAGATATCAATGTGGGAAAAAGTAGTTTCATGTGGAAACCTCTGGTCTCTTGAGATAACATTGCAGAAGCCACAGGAGAATTATCCCACCATACCACCACATTCCCTGGTATGGACATCAGATATGAGGCTCTTGATTTTCAAAATTATGAAATTGTGAGTGTGAAAGTTCTATCAAAAGTATTAGATGTGAAGGGGAGGATAAGATATAAAGGACCCCAAATGTCACCCTAGCTTTCCATTATACCTCCACAGAGTCCAGTGTGAGCAGGGCAGAGCAATTTAAATAATAAATGTCTCCCTTCCACCTTTAGTCCTTGAGTAACTAGGCAGGCTTGTATGGGTAAATCATATTAATAAATGGGTAGAAATGCTCTGCTTATGCATGCAGATAAAACACATTATTACTCAAAGTGATAAATTACTGAATTGTTTACATTTCTGTTTTAAAGATTTTTCTCAGCCAATTTCACAATCTGCTGTACTCCCATTTATCAATATACTTACTCAGCTGCTGAAAGATTTTTTTTCCAGCAGTGAACTAAGGCAGCCCAGGGAAATCAATGCAGGGAATAATAGGAACAGGACTTGCCCTTTTTAACAATGGAAAGAAGTCCACTTAACTTCCCAGGTCACTTGATTCTCTAACAACTGCGGACAATTAAAATCTTATACTCTGACACATACTTGATACAAGTGGGAGCTTTCTTTCCAATCCAGGTGGCAGATCTGTGACATCCAATTTAGACCAGGACCACAGAAAGAAGGGCAAATAATTTAACTCTCTAAAGCTATTGAGATTCAATCTACTTCCTAGACATACAGAGAGACAGACAGATTGTATTTTTTTATTTGAGCAATCAGATAACCTTCAGCATCATTCTCCTTTTCCTGAGGAACCTAATTGAGAGTGTGTGGGGATGTAGGGGACAGTTGGAACACTAATAATTCAATCTCAGAAGCTAGTCTACAACTTACAGAGATTTGTGGTACAGCTACATCTCTGTGCTATCACAGAATGGAAAAAAAGGTCTATGGCCTTTCACAATGAGTCTCACTAAACACAAACAATTACTGCTATTTAAAGTTCCATAGCGTTATGCTGTTATTGTTCAACCATTCAGCAATCTGACTACAAGTAGTCCTGGACTTGCGACCACAATGGAGCCCAAAATTTCCATGGCTAAGCAAGGCAGTTAAGTGGGTTTTGCCCCATTTTATGACTTTTTTTGCCACAGTTGTTAAGCAAATCACTGGAGTTAAGGGAATCATGTGGTAGTTAAACAAATCTGGCTTGCCTCATCGATTTTGCTTGTTGGGAGCCAGTTGGGAAGGTTACAAATGGTGACTGTATGACCCCAGGACAATGCAACTCTCATAAATACATGCCAGTTAACAACTGCCTGAATTTTGATCATGTGACCCTGGGGATACTGGAATGATCAGAAGTTTGAAAAATGGTCATGTCACTTTTTATTACACTGTTGTAACTTTGAACGCCCATTAAACAAATGGTTGCAAGTCAAGGACTTCCTGTATGAACACTTCTTGAAATGGATGGAAACTAATCAAGGATGGAAACAAAATCAAGGAGAGAACCAACCTAGAACTAAGGAGAAATTTCCTGATAGTTTACAACAATTAATAAGTGGAACGACTTTCCTCCAGAAATTGTGAATGCTTCAACACTGGAAGTTTTTAAGAAGATATTTGATAACTACTTGTCTGAAATGGTACAGGGTTTTCCTGCCTAAGCAGGGGGTTAGATTAGAAGATCTCCACCATCTCTTCCATCTCTGTTATTCTATTCTATTCTATTCTATTCTATTCTATTCTATTCTATTCTA